CCCCTACCTGCTGTTCAGTATCTAACCTAGCTCTTGCATGTGCTGTATCAGTCAGCTTTCCTGTTGCTGAATGTACCATCTGACACCCTCAACTGAAAGGAAGAGAGGATTATTTGACCCTCAGTTGCAGTGGATTCAGTGTATGATTGACTGGCTCCAAAGCAGGAATGCCATGGCAGAAAGGCATGGTAGAGCAAAGCTGTTTACTCAGTTCCTGACAGCTGAAAAGCAGAGCAGGGGAGCACTGGGAGTGAGGAAAGGGCCAGAGACCAGATATGGACCCAAGGTCACCCCTCCATGATCTGCCCAGATGCACCCAGATGTGTCCTTTACTAATCCCTTAGGTGACTTCCAAACCATTCAAACTGATAATTCAATTTAACAGTTACATGTGCTTTGCTCATTTTTTATGTGTTTGTGGGTTAGTGATAGGGCACACACAATGCCAGTCATCCTGTCATGATCAAAGCAGAAGTCAGACTGTGGTTTTTGAGTCTAAAACACTTGACTTTAGGTTCCAGCTTGTCAGATACTAGCTGTATGATGCCTGGATATGCCACTCTGCGTCTCTGAACCTCTGTTTTCATTTTTTATGGGTGTTTATTTATTTACTTGTGTAAGTACTTGACCTCTCAGAGTTATTTTGGAATGACATGCATGTAAACCTCACGTCATGGCTTGTGTCTCGATGGCCCCCCAGAGCCCCATGCCGTCATAGGTGGGGATTTTTCAGAGGTGGCTGAATCTAGAGTGTGTGATAGAGTCAAGGGTGCTAAGATTAAAGGTGTGTGATGAGTCCACTGATTGGCTTGGCGCCATTCTAATCCCAGTGGCCTGGTTAAAATATTAAGGGGCAGAAAGAGGCTTGTCATGTCCCTTGCTTGCTTTTTCTGTATTCTGCCCACCATGAACTGTTTCTCCTCTGCAGTTCTGCCCTCCCACCCTGCCTTGGAGCCACCCAACTATGGACCAAAACCTCTGAAGACTGTGAGCCAAATAAACCTTTTCTCTCTTAATTTGTGGGTGTTGGGTGTTTTGTCTTAGCAGTGAGAAAAGTAGCTAAGGCAGAGTTTGGCTCCAGAGCAGTGGGATTGTTGCTGTGACGATACCTGACCATGTGGTTTAGGAGCCTTTGGAGCTGGCTTGTGGGAAGCTAAGGTTCAGAGGCACCAGCTGAAAAGCATATCTGGAATACTTTAGGCTGCACTTGAGAAATTCAGGTCAGAGCTCAGAAGACCAGAATATTGACAGAAATGATGCCAGTAAAGACCAGGCTCAGAAACTTTCTGCTGGGAAGAAGGAGTGCATTGGACTCCAGGTGATGTGTGTTATAGCTTGGCAGAAAGTTTGTGTTTTGCTCATGCCCAGAGACTTTGCCTAAGACTGAGATTAGGGGCAGAAGAAATTTCAAGAGAGACTAATCTTGGGACAGTGGCAAGACTGTCACCGAAGGCTTTTAGCCGGGTTTATGTGGAGAATCAAGAGCAAAGACTCAAGAAGAACAATTTAAAACATTTTGAGTTTGGCCAGAAAGGGAGCTGCAGTGAATATGAGGCCTGCAAATATGAAAGAGAGGAGAAATGGTTACTGAAAAGATTAGAAAGAAAAAGCCAAATATTTCAGAAGAAGAAAACAGATGGTAACATGGCCTGAGAACGTCCCAAGAACCAGCAGGACTCCAGCCTTGGCAACCCCAGAGTTGCAAAGGGTGAAAGACTTTGCTTTGAGAAGAGGGTCCCAGAGCACTGTGCCCCAGAACTGCAATGGCCCAGGGAAGCTGATCTTCAGGATTTCGTTCATAGGCACTTGACCCTCTATAGCCAAGAGAGAGGGAAGCCTGGCTATTGCTCCAGCTGGCCTCAGACCTTGGCATCATCCGTGTGGTGCTGGCATGAGGTGCATTCAGAATGCAAGAGCTTTGGGGTCAGGAAGGCTCCCACAAAGATTTCAGAAGAAGGCCTGGGAGGCCAGGCAGTGTGCCCCGAAAGGGTGGTGTGTGAAAACGTGAGTGTGAAGTTCAAGGTGCAATGGGAAACCCAGAGGTTTGGAGAATCCAGGAGCATAGACCGTCTGAGGAAAACTGCAAGGAGCGAGCAGAGCTGGCCCAAGAGAGAAGCCATGGGAGCTACAACCACTGGAAGAGCAGCAGGGGTGACACAAGTAGCCACCCAAGCCTTTGGAGTTCACATCTTGCCACAGATTGCCTTGGATGCTGGACATGGAGCTCTAGGACTTAATGTTTGCCCTGCTGGATTTTGAACTTAGTCTCCTTCCTTTCTATCCCCCTCTTTGTACCTTTTGGAATGCAAATGTCTATCTTGTTCCATTGAATGTTGGAAAAGTGCTTAATGTTCTTTTCATTGATAGGGGCTCACAGCTAAGAGTTTGCCTTAAATTTCAAAAGAGACTTTGGACTTGGACTTTTCAGCCATGCTGAAACTGTTAGGATTTTGACAACATCCTGGTGATGAACTAAATGCCTTTTGCACAGGGGGATATTCATGAGTCCTTGGAGGACCAGGGGCAGAATGCTATGGCTTGTGTCTAGATGTCCCCCCAAAAGAAGCCTCAAGTGGTCATAGGTGGGGCTTTTTCAGAGGTGGTTGAATTTAGAGTGTGATTGATTCATGTTGCAATGCTAAAATTAAGGGTGTTAGGATTAAGTGTGATGATTACTAAATCAGTCCACTGATTGGTTTGGAACTACTCTAATCCTGGTAGCCTGGATACAATTTAAGGGGTAGTAGAGGCTTGACCTGTCCCTTGCTTGTTGCTTTGCTACCTTCTGACCACCATAGCTGTTTTTCCTCTATGATGCTTGTCTGCCATGCTACCCTGCTTGGAGACAATTATGGACTGAAACCTCTACAAACTGTGAGCTAAATAAACTTTTCCTCCCTTAACTTGTGGGTGTTGGGTATTTTATCTCAGCAAAGTAACTGAAAAAGTAACCGGCACATAGTAGGTGTTCAATAAAAGAAAAGTTATATGGTTCACAGGTTTCTGCAAGATATGGCAATTGCTCAAATCCCAGGTGTAAAGATCCCAGAAGACTGGCATCTCTCTGCAGCCATAACTGGCCTTTCAAGGGATGAACTGTACTTCTAAATATTTAAGCAGTCTTGGCTGTTCCTCATTAAAAGTTAATAAGTTTCAATTGAGCTCTTGTCAGCTGATTTTACCTCCCGCTGTTGACCCATTTAAAACCCAGCTTCTTTTTGTGTGGTCCCAAGGGGCCTGTGGGTGATTTTCAAAGGGGCTCACAGAGCAGTTCTAGCTGGAATCGCATTTCAAGGTGGGAAGTGGCCTCTGCTTTCTTGCCAGACTCTAGGAAATCTGAGTCTTTTGTTGGTCTTGTGCCTCAGACTAGGGTCCAGGTGGAAACGGGTAGACTCCGGGGTCGGGTGTGGCAAAGGCAGTCCCTGGGGAGTGGGAAAGGGGGCGGGGCGAGGGGGCAGGAGGGTGAAGGGAAGGAGACGATGGCCTCCAAGAGGACCTGTTTACTCTCAGCCACTCCAGGTGATTTTTGAACAGGATGAAAATATCCCTTAATCCTCTTTATCTCAATTCAGTGCTTCTGGAAAAAGAGATTCTTGACATTTCAGATGGTAGCAAAGAAGAAAAAAAAATTATAAATATGAGAGATACATAATGTTCAGTGGAAACTGTAGGATGGAAAGATTCCAGGGAATTTATTTGAAGAGCCTCCTTAGTGTCTGGCAAAATGAGATCAGGTTAGGAGAGAGGGTGGCACCTGTGTCAGCTCTTCTGCTGGGCCGTGCTGTCTTGTGTCCCTGTCCCATGCAGGAGGGAGGAGCAGGAATTTCACCCTCTGTCCATCTTGCCTGCCTCCGTTAAGCACAGGGCCTATCGTATCTGCCCCCAAGCCTTGTTCCCAGTTCAGCCCCGCTGACTGTCCCTCTGCCATTGACCTGCCTGCAAAACAGCCTTTCGGGCCAAAGAAATGTGCCTCCTCCTGCCACCCTTTCTTCCGCAGCTGAGCATCTGCTTCTGTTCCTGACTGTGAGAAGTGTGTCGAGGATGAGGGACGGGGTTGATGGCAGGCTGGGGTTGAGCAGGGCTCTTCCTATCAGCCACAAACTGCTGAGGACAGAGGGATCCGGGAGAGAGGGCTTTTGGGTCCTAACCCCAAGGAGGAAACAGCTAAATGCTCAATCTCCGAGCAAAAGGCAGACCATGATGGTGATATCCGCATGGTGGTGGTGGGGCGACTGGTGGAGCGGGATCATTGTTGGCCAGCGTCAAAGGAATGGCTCTGTCTTTTTATTTTTTGTTTTTGATACCTGGGATCGAACTCAGGCCCTTGTGCTTGTGAGGCAGGTGCCGGAACCACTGAGCTAAATCCCCTGCCCTCTCTGTCTTTTTTGACTGCAGTGTCATTCATTTTAAGTGTGTTGCCATAAGCCTGTAACCCCTTTCTTAGGGGGAACTTCCAAGAAGTGAGTCTGTCAAACTGAATGCTTTTAATACTCATTGCTTCACCATCATAAACTGTGTGACCATGGACAAAATATTTCACCTCTCTAGGCCTCGGTTTCCTCATCTTTATAATGAGGATAATAATAGTACCCTACAACTGTGAGGATATAAAGTGTTTACTGTGCTGCATTAGCAGCTACTAGTATTGTTTTTAAATGCTATTGTTACCGTAACTAGGATGCTATCAAGAAGAGTAGTACAGATTATGCCAGTCCCTCCCAACAGCCTCAGAAATAAATATGAAACAGCGGAAGTGGCCTCTTGGGTCAGATCTATTTACGACTCAACATACAATCCTGACAGTCTTTCCCCTTACTCTGAGTCTCAGTTTTCTCATCAGGTAAAGGAGGCCACAGTCCTATACAACCACCACCACTGCTTCTAGGCCAATGAATTCATCAACAGAAATGGCCAGAACACCACATGTCCCCTAAACAGGGCAAACATCCACTTAGCCATCTTATTAACTCTTTCCAGTAATTCAGCAAAACTTGTTTCAGGAACAGATCGGAGACCGATTTCATGCCCAATTTGTGATACCTCCCTGCATGGAAAGTAAACCACATGGTTCAGGTACTGGGTTGGGTGTGGGATATCGGAATTCATTCATGTATTTTTTTCCATTCAGTTATTCATCCATCCAGCAGATATTCTGCCATGATTGTGTGTTACATACTGTTCTAGGCCCTACCAATACTGCTATGAAATATACAGGCAAAGGTTATATGCTGCTGGACCATTCCGGAGGGGTAGGCAGCTAATCAATTAGCCAACATTAATAGGTTGGCTTTAGACTGCAAGGATGTGCCTCAGGAGATGATCCAAGGCCAGGTGCAGGAAGAGGGCCTGGGAGTCTGGGCTGGTGATGGATGGGGGTGGAGGGACAGTGAGGTTTAATAGGAGACCAAGAGGCCTGCACGGTGGGAAGGAGCTAGACTTGTGACATTTGGAGCAGGGCACTAGTAAGTGCACCGGCTGGGATGAATTTTTCTGAAAGGTGTCCCAAAGGTCTTTACGTAGGAGAATCGATGGCTTAGCTTTGAAACGGGAGGCTGCACAGGAAGTGAATCAAGTTGTATTCAACTTGTAGCACAACTTTCTGGGATTGATCCCAGCTCAACTGCTGATGGTGACCTTGGACAGGCTACACCATCTCCCAGTGCCTCAGTTTCCTAATCTGTAAGATGAGGCAGATAAGAGAATCATGGTCTTGTAGTAAGGATTAAAAATACAATCTATGTATGGGGACTGCCCCGTACACAGGAGGTGCTCTTGTTATGTTTCTGAACGTTCACTTGGGCACTCACGGCAAAGGGCAGCACCAAGGTGGTCAGTCAGATAATTGCTGAAGCCCTTCCAGGCTGGAGAAGCTCCAAATCAAAGGCTTGAAAATCATTTGCTTACTGAAGTAGGGTAAATATTGGTGCTTCCTGTTCTGTTTACATTCTCCAGAGGTTTGGCAAAGCATTTTTGCTAGATAATACAAAGATGCCCAGAATTTTGACTGACTTGAATTAATCAGATTTGATTGAATTTTTAAAGACAAATCTCTCAATACGACCCATGGAAGCAACAACAAAAAAAATCATTTCAATGTTTAGAAAGTCTAGAGTTTTAGCAGAAGAACGTCTAGAGTACAATGTTAGAGAACTTTGTGAATCAGCTTAATTCCCATCACGTGCATTCAGAACTTTCTCATGTCCCTGTTTCAAAGGGACTGGGTTCTCCTGGCTGTGCAGAGTTGCCAGGCAGGCCCAAGATTGGCTTTTTCTTAGTACTCAAGTACAAGAACCAACAGGAAAGCTCAGGTAGTCTAACACCTTTTAGAAATAAAGAAAGTGAGCCAAATAGGGAAGGAGCTTCTCTAGGAATCCAATTACAAATGCTCTGGGGGCAAGGGCATCTCCCTAGGTGCATGGCACGTGGGAAGCAGCTGTCCTCTCAAAGAAAGCAAAAGGCCAATTACTGTATTGGCCTTTATTACTTTATCATTTATTATGTGTTTAATTCACTTCACAAACACTTATCAATGTCTACCACATTGCAGGTAATGTTCAAGTACTAGGGACATAGAGGAGAAGTCTACAGTTGGTTCTTTTTTTCTTTAAACACTAATTTTGTTGGTACATTTTAGGTATACAATATAATGACATTCATCATTGGAGATTTGTACCTCTACATAACATATCTTAATTCTTATTTTTCCCCCATTCCCCTGGCCTCCCTTCAACACCTCCACCCTTCTCTATTTACAAAGACTTTGTTTCCATTTTCTCATATCAATTCAATTCCCTTCTTTCCTTTCTCCTACCCCACGCACTTCTCCCTCCCCTTTGCACCCTTTCTTCCCATTTCACATTATCTATTATACATTATGATTCTTATTGACACTTTCAGCTTCTCATACCAGAGAAACTATTCAGTATTTATGTGTGTGTGTCCTATTTATTTCACTGAAGAGCAAGGCCTCAATGTGCATCCATTTAGCTATAAATGTCTCTAATTTCTCAATCTTTATGGCTGAGTAGTACTCCATTTTATTAAAAAAAACCCCACATTTTCTTTATCCAGTCTCCAGTTGATGGGCAACTGGGCTGTTTCCAAGCTTTATTGATTACAAACTCTGCCATTACAAACATGGATGTGCATATATCACTGTGGTATGATTCTTCTAATTCTTTCAGGAAGATACCCAACAGGGGGATAGCTGGGCCAAATGGGATCTTTTAAAAGTCACTCTAACAGACTCTGCCTTTTAATTAGAAGTGTATGTAGACCATTTTCATCTATTATAACTGGTGATAAAGTTGGGTTTAAAAATAGCATCTAATAGGGCTGGGGATGTAGCTCAGTGGTGCTGAAACTGCCTGTCAAATGCAAGGTCCTGAGTTTGATCCCTGGTACAAAAAAATAGTATGTACTAGTTTACTTCATGTTTTATTTGCCCTTAGTTTCCTCTGCCTTTGTTTGGATTAACTGGATATTTTTTATCCCATTTTATCTCATTTTTTGTTTATAAATTGTGCATTTTAAAAAGTGTTGTTGTCCTAGAGTTTACATTATACAGTTTTATCTGCTTTCAGATAATAAATCACTTCTTATACAATAGATCCTTGAAACAGTGTACTTTCATTTTCCTTTCTCGTAACTTTTTGCTGCTTTTGTTATATATTTCATTTTCTGTGTGTTAAAAACCTCAAAATAAATTATTACCATGTTTTCCTTAGACATTTGATTATGTTTCAAAGTCACTTTGAAAAGTGAGAAAAATGGTTTGTATACTCATATATTTGCCATTTCTGAGGTTCTTCTGTGTTTGACATTGATTCAGCTTTCTACTTGATATCATTTTCCTTCCTCATAAAAGGATTTTCACAGTTTTTAGAGCAGAGATCTTCTGGAGATAGGTTCTTTCAGCTGCCCAAGGGCAGGGCAGTGTCCAAGTTGATGAACAACATAAGTGATATTGTTCCAAGGCCTTGGTGCCCTGCACTGCCTGGCTGTGGCTGGCTATGGCTCTTATTTTTAGCCTAATTGCCTATGTGACACAAGCAATTTTTTGAAGCCCACTCATTGTTTTATCCACTTTAGCTCTAAAACTAACAAAGTGTTTAAGAAATCTCACCACTCCCACCTGTTAGGTAACTGATTCTCAGTTTCCCCATTGGTAAAATGGAAACTGTGGCCCTTTTCTGCAGGCTCCCTGTCTCCCGACATCCTTCCTGGCCTGCGTGGAAGCTGAAGGGTGGAATTTGAGCCATGGGCCACAGCTCTCTTTTCCAGTGACCTTGGTCAGTTGTTTCATTTATCTGGGGTACCGTTTTCTGATTTATGAAATGGTCACAGCCAGAAGTTGGTTACGTTTTTAAGGGCAAACGTGGTCACTGGTTCTGACTTCAGGGTTGAAAATAGTTGAGAGCTGAACAATCCAAAGGATGTTGTCTCTGCCTTAGGAGATACATCCGTGAGTGTGGTTTCTTGCCACTGTACCAGACATGGGTTCGGTTACAGTCTCCGCCAGTTCTGTAGGGCAGTGCCTGTCTTTGTGCTCCTCTCATTGGGTGATACTGCATTTTTTGACACCTGGGGGACTCCCAATGTGACAACCCTTAATTCTACATAGAGACACCTCTCAGAGCACACACTGTTACCCATAGTAAGATCAACTATTTCTTTCCAATCCCTCCCCGACACACTCACTTCAGTGGGCAGGCCCTGTGTTCTTTCCTCCTTCCTCAGTGGAAGTCTCATTTCAGGGGACTAATTGCCTTTCCCACCCTTGGGTCTCTGTCAGAGTGACCTGAACTTTCCTGATTGTTGTAAGAGCTCCGAACCTCCGAAAACAAGAATTGATCTGCTTGTTTGTTCCCTCCTTTGGGCTCCTTAGGCAAATTACTCCAAAAGCTGCCATTCTTCAAGTCTATGTTCAATAGTTTCTCTTACAGTAAAAAAAATCAAGTTCCAAATCATTGGATACCTGCAAAGTGAATAAATAAGCTTTCTAATTTAAGATAAGAATTTCAAATATTTGCAGAATGCTATCGATGAGCCTGCTGCTGTAGGAGAATGAAATCATTCATTCTGGACTATAGCACTCTGAAGGAAGCTGTATCTGTTGGGGTTCAAGAAGGAGACAAATTACGCAGCAATTTAGACAAAGTAAGTATAATATGAAATTAGTCCAGTGGGACAGTATTTATAAAGTTGAAAAGAGGACTATAAAAATATCCCAAGGCTCAGGGAGACAATCCATAGCAGAAGACACTTGGAGAGGGGCCCATCCCAAAGCTGGGCTTTAGATTTCTTTGGAGATGGTGAACTCAACAACCAATGAGTGGTAGGGGCATTCACCAGGATGCTTGCTGCATTTGCCAGGCAAGCAGGCAAAAACACTTTTAGTTCAGGAAAGTTGAGGTCGGTGGACAGGCACATAGAGGGTGTCATTGTGCTGCTGTGAGCAGGAGGCCTGGATCACATGGTGTCTGTGTCAGGGAGACGGTGTAACACAGTAAGGTGACCATCAGAGCTGGGCTGGGGCTATGAGCGTGCTCAGTGACCTGGTGGTTACTGGATACCCCAAGATATTGACACACAGAAGCACTAATGTTGGCCTATCCATCATGAATGAGGACCAGAAAAATTCAACAACCAGGACAAGAAAGAAAAAAAATTCTTTCTCCTTTAGTATCTTTCCAGATCCTTTGAATGACAAAGTTTAACAGTGAGTGTGCTCATTATAAATAATAAATACTTCAAGAGTTTAGTTCACTGCAGAGCAGTTACTGAAGTGTAAATCTTAGGACAGAGGCAATAAATTGATAACTGGCACAGTCTGTCCGTTTGGCCATTTAGCTTTCATATACCTCTACCCACATTGGAGCACCTGTACTTTAATAGACCGCTCCTTAAATTCTCTCTGGCTTCTCTCTTGGAAGGGAGGAAATTCTCACCTTGCCCCATGTGGAGAGGTGGTATAGTCCCAACAGTCATCCTATTTCTCCCTGGCTATACCAACTGCTACTGAAATTGAGTGATAGTTTCCATTGGATATC